ACGAGGGGCAAGCTCTCCACAGCGCCCTCGGACAACTTCTATTTGGTTCGTTACTGGCGAGGAACCCGACGACATGCAGCCTCTGCCCTCTTCCTCTTCTAGCCCTTGGTAGAAAAGGCACTACATCCCGAGATGCCAAGGCTCATGAACGAGCTCGGAAAAGGATGGATAGGAAGATGGAAGAAATTTTCCAGGCCAATCGTGCCGCAGGACTTAGCCGAGACACCGCTGCTTCATCCAGTGCCACATATAGGGACCAAGAGCCTAGACTGCCCTGCCATGGAGTACAGTACATTTGCACTTTGCACCCTCCTGCAGTCTGTTCCATCTCATTGCTCAGGTCCAGCCGAGACCATGCTGACAGCTCCACAGGCCGGGAACTGCCACAGTCAGCCACCATAACCTACTGGCAGCTTTCCTGCAGGAAACTTCTTAAGCACTCGACCTATGCCCGCCTTCAGGTCCACACATCTAGCCGTTTCTGTATGGACCTCCGCATGCAACTATGCCAAGGGGCCCTTCTCCCGGTGCCGCCTCGTCTACAACAGCATGGAGGTATGCCCACCAGAATACTGCCATCGAGACCGCATTTGTCCTGTGCTTCCCTCTCTGAAGCCTCGAATGCCATTGTGGGAGCCACCTCTCCTGCACCATCTATGTTCAGGAGCATCTCCGACCAGCGTGGGTCTTCTGCTGGTGGCGAGGGCCTAGGTCTCCTCTTTTGGCATCGTTCAGCCAGCCAACTGCTGCCGTGCATCTCACATAACAGGCTCAAAAGTGCTATCCGAGTCCGGGTTCAAATCTCAGCCCAGCTGTGCTCCCTGCACCGAACAAACACCAGACCTGAGCCAGGAACCTGGACAAGAGCCACACTGATGCGAAGCGAGAGGCCTGTATCTTGGCAGGCCCATTCCGGCCTCTTGTGCCTTCCACAGCACCTCGACCGTCTGTTACAAGTTCTGCTCTCAGGGCTGATTGAGCCGCCTCGCACACCATCTTCCATCCCGGTCTGCCTGCACCATTGGCAACAAGGCTGGCCGGATGCCTATCAAGTTGGACCCTCTGAAGTCTGTGCTGTGTGTTCACGTCTTCCGCGACCTGGCCTCGATATGTCCTCCATGGAGAGCCTACCTCCAGATTCCAGTTTGGGTCTTCAGGATGTCTGTCCCCCGGAACTCTGGATGCATAACCTGCCACACCGCGGCCCTCCAAGCTGCCCTGGCCTAGGTCTGCCAAACTCACTGGGCACAGGCAAGAGCTCATCGGTCCCAGCCGGACCCTTGGACACTAGATACGCACAATTTGCCCTCAAGACATTCCCGGCACGCGATTGGCATACAGTACAGAATGGCGGACCCTCGGTGTGCTTGGTGCAGGTTTCATTTCAGACGAAACACCCCACATCAGCTCCCCTTTCAAAGAAGACTTCGATCTGTTACAAATAAGATGGGGCCCTTTACCAGACTGGATGATACCTGCACCGGAGCTGATTTTACTGAGCCCAGTTTTCACCTGGCAACAATGGACTAGATGCTGCCACCCGACAAACAAGCCTATGAAGTCGAGTCCACACCTAGCCATTAGCCTGCCACCGATCATTCACATCATCTCTCAAAAAGCGAGCCAGCTCGGTCCCAAGTCCGAGCATTCTCCCACACACCAAGCAGCGATTCCTATGCGAGGCATCCCCAAGTATTCGCATAGATGGTGTCAGCTTCGAGGGAGAATAGGAGCGAGGGTTAGCAACAGTAGCCGTCTGTTGCTGGGACCACAGTTATGTCCGGAGTGGCATTTCTGTGGGAAGCCACGGCTAGAGCTAAAAAGTCCGACATCTCTGATGAGTACCGTCTCGCGGGACTGCTCATCACAACAAACATCACTCACTTCTTCATCTCCCGAGGCTGTATTCACTGCGGTCGCAGAACACCAGAGCTACCATCTGCTACAACTGGCTCGCAGGACACAAATCTTGGTCGGTCTTTACATGCGGACGGCCCTGCACCCGATCTGCCTCCTGCTCTCATCAAACCGCGTGTGTTTCGCAGCCATTCCCGGCTGGAGTGCCCAGCCCTGCATCTTGTCCAGAAGCCCTGGACTGAGTCTACTCTGGTGTAGATTTCAGCTTTCGCCACCTGTGCCCACTCCCGTGCATATGCATAGGCCTACTGAAACTTATCCACGGCGATCCTGGATGCCTTGCAGCAGCAGTTATCGGCCCCGGCCCCTGTGGCCTTTGCGCGCCTTCCTGTCCCTTCTGACCCTAAGTACTCAGCCCTATCTGGTAGCAGGTGTACCTTCATCTCAGCTGCCTCTACATGCTGTCTCTGCCACGGCCCCAGCTACTTCTCACCTGCATGGTCCCCTCCAATGGACCGCGACACGTAAACGTTCCTACAAGCGTGCTGTGAGGCGTGCAGCTGCTCATCCTGAGCAGCGCACCATGTACCGTGGACGCACCCACACACTGCGACAACTTCACAGCAACTATAGTGGCTCCCGTCTCGACCCAGGTGCAAGCTGCAGGCCAAGACAGCATGCCATGCAAAGGAGGCCGGATCGACTACTTATATGGAGCTGGAATGCCGGAGGCCTCACCACTGATCTCTGGCACGAGCTTCTTCTCACCCTCGCTGAGACACCGACCCTGCTGAGGCCACAGGTGGTTCTGCTCCAGGAATCCCACTGGACTGAGGCCATGGCTCCTCAGTTTCAGTCCGCCGATTGGACAGTTCTCACATCTCCTACCACCGATTGCAAGGCAGCTGGCCTGGTGGTTCTGCTGGATAAGCAGATGTGCAATCAAGGCCAGCTCACCTACGCTGACCCGCTCCCGGGTCGAGTACAACATGTCCGACTTGCATCAACCAAGTGGGCCCTTGACATCTTCAACATCTATCAAAAGCCACAAACCACACTCAAGGAACATGCAGGGGCCTCCAAGGAGCTTCGGAAGAAAGTATGGCACACTCTTAGGGCAGAAATCAACAGGACGCCACTCAGACATACTCTTATTGTTGCGGGTGACCACAACTGCGAGCTGCAACCCTCGGCACTGGTGGGCCCAAAAGCTGCCTGCGGTACAGGTACGCCGGCACGAGATCAACACTTGCTGCAGCAGCTTCTGGAAGATCATCAACTTGTGCAGCTCAACTCCTGGTGCCGCAAGGCCGGGCCCACCTATCTACACCATGCTGGACACAGCCTGATTGACCATCTGATGGTGCGAGGCACACAAGCCAACAGTCTGGCCCGCTTAGCTCACCCACAGTCCACCCCTCTTGCGGCCTGGAGGCAGGGTGGCAAGCACTTACTGCTTGTCGGCACCGTTCGACTACAGCTATTTCAGAAGCTCAATAAACCGCCACCACAATCTACCAGGACCTGGGACCACTGGGCACTTGTTCAGAAGTGCCTGGATCGGCACGACCCAAGCATCCAGAGACTACGACATCAAGTTCGCCAATGTCTGCCCCAGGTTCACAACCTCACCGAGTTGGACCGTGTCCTCACTACCAAGGCAGAGAGTGTTTTCCCCAAACCAGAGCAATCACAGCGTCTGGCCGTGTGGCAGACACCGGCAATGCAAGGTGGACTCAAAGCTATGTGGCAAGCCTACCGAGCATGGAAATGTCCGACAGGTGCCGGGCTTAAGATGATCCTTGCCAAGTGGCGCAACTATCTCTTTAGACAGGAACAGCGAGCTTTTAAGCAAGCTGGCAAGGAAGCTAAGAAGCACTGGTTTCAATCCCGACTTGCGGATCTACAACAGGCCGCGCAATCCCAAGACACACGGCAGCTCTATGCAGGAGTGCGCTCCCTGGCTCCCAAATCCAGGAAAATCGCGGTCCAACTTCGCGACGCTGCTGGACGAATGCAGGATGCCTCTGCCCAAGCTGAACAGCTAAGAGTGCATTATGAGAAGCTGTACACTGCTCCAGAAGAGACTGCCCCTTCCTCCCCACCTACCAACATCAATATGGATGTCACTGCCGAAGAGGTGCTACATGCTCTCGATCATCTTCCAATACACAAGGCTGTACCCAGAGGCATGGCCACAACATCGCTGTGGCGTAGCTGCTCAGATGTGCTAGCACCCTATCTGGCAGAAATGACAAGAACAGCACGACAGGTCCCGCAACTCTGGCGAGATGCATGGATAACTCTCATTCCGAAGGTTCCACGACCACTGGAACCCAAGCATCTACGCCCTATAGGGCTCACGGAAGTGAGCGGACGGGCAATTGCTCGCATTCTACAGCAAAGACTACGGCCCCACGTCCAGAGCTACCTACACTCCCTTCCACAATATGCCTATTTAGCTCACCGAAGTACCAGCCATGCCATTCTTCGTGTCCAATCTCACTGCAAGCAAGTCCAGCAGGCCTGCTCTGCACCGGCACGGAGGATTTAACTTCCGCTTTTGACGTGTTATCCTGGCAACTGCTGTCGGAAGCCATGCAAGCAGCTAACATACCTCAAGAGCTTCGAGATTGGGTTTCCAGCTGGTACAGTGAAGTCACGTACCATACTAGACACCTTGGTTGGGAGAAATGGGTGATAGCTTCTCAAGGAGTGCGACAGGGATGTCTGCTGGCACCCCTGCTATGGGGTCTGTGCACCGGGCATCTACTCATTGCACTACAGCAAACCACATCCATTGAATGGGTGGAGCAGTCGGTGACAGGATATGCAGACGACTTTCATGCCTCTGACATAGTCGCTTCTTATGCAGACCTGGTACAAGCAGAATTTCGTCTCGGCTCACTGCTGGATGTCAAATGCGCATCAACTCCAAAAAGTTTGCAATCTTACTGCGAGTATGTGGCAGGTTTGCCAAGAGGTGGTTACAGCAGCACAGGCTTAGTAAAGATGGAACACCATATCTACGTCTGCGCACCCCCAAAGGACGATGTTTCGAGTTTCCCCTGAAAGATCAGCATGTATATCTAGGAGTCTCCATTTCCTATTACTCTGCCGCGAAGCATACTGTTGCATACCGCATGCAGGCCGCCAATCAAGCATGGCAGAGGCTGCGGAAAATTCTGTGCTCCCGTACTCAGCTGGATGTTCGTAAACGCATTGCCATTTGGAGGGCGACCGTTGTTCCTACCATGACATATGGCTTGGCTGCCACTGCCCCCAGCTTGCGTGATCTTCAGAGAATCCAGCATCAATTCACAAAGCAACTTCGGGCCATCACCCACCTGTATGCTCATCTCAGCAAGGTCTCCACCTCCGATTTGCACCGACGTTATGCTGTTCCCACGGTGCTTGACATCCTTCACAAAGAGGCACATTCCCTTCACCACCAGCTCCATACCAATCTGCATTTTGGCAATACTGTCACAGATCAACATGTTCAAGATGCTCGTGCAACAGCTGCTCAACTGCAGGCTTGGCAGATAGATCAATGGCACGCCCGGAACTCTGGCGACGACGTGCCCTCTCAGGCACCCTTCTCATGTCACACATGTGGCAAGACCTTTCACTGCTATCGCCTCCTTAGAGCACATGAATCTGTTGAGCATCGACAGAAAACCCCTAAGACCAGCGAGGTCGTTTTCGATCGCAGCCTGCATAGTCTGAACGGCCTGCCTACATGTCGTCTGTGTGGTCACGTCTTTCGACAGTGGGATAACCTGAAACAACACATCAGACGTAAAAGATGTCCCACACTGCGCGGGCAAAGTGTGCCTCCCATCCCTTCTACAGGCAAGTGTCCACTTCTCACAGCTGCCGATCAAGCTTCAGCCCTGCCCTTAGATCCGGTACTGACTAATTACTCAGCCAGCCACGACCGACTCCATTCATCCTAAACCGGATGCTATTGTCCCTGCAGACACCACTTCCTCCCCCACTGCAGCTTCCGACACCCCACTGATTATGTGGAATTCTGTGATTTCCAGGCTACAACAATGTCGCTGGGTGGACCTGGCGGGTGATCCTGCTGTTCAGCAGTATCTCCGGCATCGCTGCCCTGTCTGTTATCAGTGGAGTGCAGATGCAGTTGGACTCCAGCATCACCTTGCGCATGCACATGCCTCGTGGCTCGAGACAAAAGAAGCTGCACTACAGCTGCTTCAGGTCTTCCGCCGTCACATCGTTCTACCATGTAGGTTCTGTCAACAGATCAAGGTCAATAAGGACAGACACTACTTCCAATGTCCAGTCCTTAGTATCTGTGCTTATCTACAAGCCTGGCATGACCAGCTTCACCCTGGACCACATGGATCTCGACGACGAGGAAGCCAAATTTTTCGGGACGACAGCCAGAGACTCACGCCGCCCACCAAGCGGCCTCGACCAGAGGAGTCCTTCTCGACCAGACCGATGATCAAGGGCAAAGGCAAAAATGGGAAAGGGAAAGGGAAAGGCAAAGGAAAGCCAATGGTACCGGCAACTCGCTGGGACTATGCAAGTGGTTCCGAGCAGTGGGAGACTCCATGGACAACCGACGAGATCCAGCCCTACCACCAGGGGGACCGAGCTCAGGATCAATACCAGCTACACATGTGGAATCTCATCAGGCTGGTTCTGCAGCAGGAACAGACACTGGCATCCCTTCGCCAGGACATCACCCTTGTGAAAGCCGTGTCAGGAGTTGACTCCACGTTGCGTCTTGACCGAAGGCTCACAGGGGGCCGAGGCGGGTAGAGGGATTGTGAGCCATACGCATCGCAGGGCGCGCGTGGGAATCTAAAAGGTCATTGATCTCTGCCGGGCAGGGGCATTCTTCATTCGAGGCACGGGGTGCTTCTCGAGACATCTTCTCTACATCAGTCAGGCTGCCAGTGTGGAAGCTTTGGAAGCTTTCACACTGGTAGCGGAGCCTACAGCTCCGTTGCTGGTGGCCGGCGACGCAAGAGCGGTGATTGGGTGAATCACTGGCACTGGCGGCCGAAATGCCGACAACGAGCCCAGGAGAAGGCCCGACAGGCCCTTCGGAGCCGACAGAGGCTTCGGTACCGCAGACGCAGTTCCCTTGGCAAGCTATACCTCGCTTCACTCCAGGATCCACCGACGTTTCGGAATACTCCCAGAAGGTCAAGTTTCTCGCGGCCATATGGCCTCGGGAACACTTGTCCTTGCTGGGACCACGCATGGCATTGCTGTGCGAAGGGACAGCTTTCAAGAAGATCCCCCAGTTGCCACCGCAGAAGCTCCAGGCGAACGACTCGTCAGGTGTTGAGCTCATCGTGACCACACTTGGCGGTTCTTGGGGGCAGACCCAGGTGGAAAAGAGATACGAGTACTTCGAGCGTGCCATCTACGGCACAGTCCAGAAAGGAGACGAGACAAACGACTCCTACCTTGTGTGTTATGATGTGATCTTCGATGAGTTGATTTCTCAAGGCGTGAAGCTGGAAGAATTCAGAGCCTACATCCTGCTACGTCAGTCGGGCCTGACAGCAGAGGACCGGAAGAAGATCGTGATGGAGCATGGGGGCAACTTGGAGTACAAAAAGATCTGCTCAGCGATTCGCCTGCTTGGCTCGCGATTTTTCGGCGAACTCCAAGGAGGCAAGACACAAGCCCGGACGAAGACCTACGACGTCAACCTGGCAGACAATGGGCCCTCAGACGAAGATGACCCCAACGGTGCAGCGACCACTCCGGCCTACACCGCTTTCTTCGAGGATGCGGAGAATGACCTTGACTACGACTACGTGGACGCCCTAGTGTCCCAGGACGATCCCGATGCAGTACAAGTCGCCAGCTTCGAAACCGAGCTCGAGGAGTTCTTTCAAGAGACGCCCGAACTCCAGACTGCTCTGATATCGTATCTCGACGCCCGTCAGCGACTTAAGGAAAAGCAGCGGAACCGTGGATTTTGGGGCCCTGGCTCTCAGCGAGGAAAGGGAGGAAAAGGCAAGCCTTTTGGCAAAGGAGGAGGTAAAGGCAAGAAGGGCCGTTGACAGGGAGGCACTGCTCCAAAGGATCTCTCGGTCGCATTGCCGCATATGTGGCGAGAAGGGCCACTGGAAGGCCGAGTGCCCTCGCAAAGCCGTCCCCTGCGCCAATCGACGTCGAGCCCCTCACCTCACCTCACCTCACCTCCGTGATGTCTTTCTTGTCCAATGAATCCAGCGATTTGAGTGCTGCCTCCAAGGCTGGCATGGCCACATCGAGCTCTCTTTGAGCCTCCGACTGAAGAGCGGCAACATTATCAGCTTGCTCTCTCACTAGAGCTTCCTCGCTACTGACTTTCTCTTTGACCACATCAGCCTTCTGTCGCTCCTCAGTGACGACCACGATGAGCTTCTCAGCCTCGATCTTCTTCCCGAACGTGGCTGCCTACACAGCAAGACTATCACATTGCGCCACCTTCAGATCGTCGTCCAGCACCAAGGGCGAAGCCACGGCCCAGGTGGCACAGGATCAGAATGACGAGGACGAGGTGTTGGAGACCTTGCCGGCCGACGTTGCATTCCTCAGCACAGCCATGCCCTCCCAGATGAGCTCACATTGTTCGCCGACTCTTGAGGTTGGGTTCGTTTGTACAGCGAGTTGTGAATCTGAGCGTAGGTGTTTTCCAGTAGATCCAGAGGTCAGGGCCCGAATGCGTACTAATCTCATCAAGCTGGGTAGGAAACACCTCAGGCCAGAGCAGCAAACAGCATCACGACTCGAAACCCGAAATCCTCAAGCTAGCGCGCAACTCCACAGGAAGCCCGCGGCGAGACCGCCAACCAGATGCGTGATCTGGCCAGCTCGTCACGTGGAGCCCGTGCAAGAAGATCCATCTGAGGCCGAAGCGCACTCTGCCTACCCGGAGGAGATACGGGGACCAAAAAAAAAGGTGACCGGCATCATTTTGGTGAAAAGGACATTGTGTTGACGAGTGCCACTTGGAAGCTATTTGAAGAACCGTAGGTTTTATTGCAGAAAACTCTTATTCTGATATCTTTGCAAGGCAAACCTCGAGACAGATGTCGTTTTCAGGTGGTTCAGACTCAAAGATCCGCCAGACAGATCTCGTAATAGGTGAAACTTCAGTTTTGATAGATACAAAGCACATGCTTGAGCCAGTTTGAGCCAATTTTTGAGCCGTTTGAGCCACAAGCTTAGGGTTGAGGGCTTCTAGCGTTAGGGTGCAAGGCTTAGGGTGAGGCTTTAGCTCAGGTTCCACAGACCTTGGGCTTTGGGATTAAAGGTTTCGGGTTCTGGTTTCGGCAGGCCCGGTGCGATTCTCGATGTCCCTCCCGCCCCTCCCTCACGATTTTCAGCTGTCGCCGAACTTCTTGAGCCAGTGTGGCACTGCAGCTGCCAGATATCGCTTAACCGCTGTACTATGCACAGCCGCAGCATGGCATCCACTGGCCTCAGATCGGTCCCCGCTTCTTTGAAAAATGTACAGTAGTACGATGCTCGTGATGCTCCGTACTGTATATTTGTCTCTCCACGTACTTCAGCCAAGAATCTATGGAGCAAAGCCGGCGAACGAAGTCTTCATCACCGAAACAAGACATAAGTCGAGGGTTTATGGGCAGCTTGTGCAAGTCGGCGAACATATGAAACCAGGTGTGCAGCCTGATTTGCAGGGACGTTTCATTTCCAAGCCATAAAATTATGTTGCAATGTGTTTAATGCAGAGCAAGAATCTTTGGTCTCAGCTTGTACCGGCGTTTGCCGGCACAAAAAGCATCATATGCCAGGTACACGTAGCCCACCAAAAAACGGCGAACCAGCTTCTTCGCTTTTGCAACAGCAGACGGTGGGAATACGTAGAGATAAGCATCCATGAGTTTGATCAGCCGAGCCAATGACCGGACGGTCCTTGGATCCAAGCTTAAAGGCATGGCACTTGCCTTTATCTGAATTCCGAAACTGTGAAGTCATGTCTCAGATTCAGCACTGCAGCTTTCTCCTTATCTGCCCAGGTTTTCGTAGCCACCGGAACAATACTGCCTGGGCTTCTGTAGCTATGCAGAAATTCAGGCCTGTATGTATTAAGGCTTAGGGCTCTGGTTTTAGAGTATACAGGGTACAGGCCGGGGTAAGGGTGGTTACCGGTAGACTATTCGACAAAAAAAGCGCTTAAAAACAGTTGCTGTCAGCTCCAGGAACAAGCCATAAACATATGACTTTGATGTCTGCACCCTTAGCATTAAGGAAAGCGTACTTCTCATCTGCATTTAGATTGAAGTCGTCGCAAGCAAGTTCGAGGCCTTGGGCTTTCGCCCATGTAGAGGCAAGAGTGTGAGCTTTTGTCAAGCCTCCGTTTCCCAGAAAAAGGTCCAGCATGACTGAAGCGGTAAAGTCTGGCCCAAAACCCCTGTAGCACACATGTAATGTGTCGAAGTGGATCAGCTTGCTGTCGAAGCCATCGAAGTCGCAGAGTGCAGGGATTCCGTGCCCCCTTTGGGCAGTCCAGAGCTCTTGCAAGAAGTCCTCAGTTGAACTTGTTACGATCAAAAAATGTTTGCCTCTGGCAGACAAGCCTCTGTATTTTTTTCGCGACCACAAAGCTCCCAAGGAGAATCTCCGAAGAAGTTCAGGTAGTGCCCGGACCCCATAGATAAGAATGTTGCACCATCCATCAAATCTATCGTGGAGGAAAGCCTGGGATGAGTTAAGGTCGCACGGCTTCGCAATATTTGGACCCAGATGCTTTCCTAGATGCTGGCACTGCATGCACATCCTGCACACAGATCTAGCTCGGCACTTCCAAGTATTTAGGAGTGAGGGTTCGGTTCGGGCTCTAGGCTACATAAGGATTATGTGTAGACCTGCCTACTTAAAATATCATCCCCCCACTTCCTAGTTGGGTACCTGAAGCCTAACAAATAACCTCGAAAAAGCACATTTACCCCACAGACCCTCAAAGCCGAACGAGAGCATGTCCGGGCCTGTTTCCATTGGCCTCGCCGTTCCCCTTCCAGTGTCGAGGACTGAGCCAGGGATGAACTAGCATTGAGAAAAACGATGTACCCGTCTGAGGCACAGGCAAATGCAGGATCTGTTGGAACCACTTCTGGTCCCCAGCCAATCCCATATAGCATAGCTTTCTGGAAGATATGCCATCAAGTTTGAATCTCCTGGAGACTCGACATCAACAAGTGGTCTTATGGGCCAGAAAACTTAGCACAGAATAACCCGGTCTAGGCACACTTTCTTCAAATCATCTTTGAGGAAGCTCATAAGAACATCCAAGGTCGCGGGGAATTGCGTGCCGATCTTCTTGTTCTTTTGCATCGCCCGAGTGAGAACCGTTTGACCAGTAAGGCATGCGAGGCACAGGCGAGTCTTCAAAGTGTCCTAGGTGAGCACGAGCGAATTGCATGATCAAACAAGCGGACACAACAGCTTCATTGCCAACAAGGCTCACCCGAATGAGTATAAGGAAATGACATATTGATAACAAGCACGTTCTTGGACTTTTGGCCAGGACCCTCATCGCCGTGCAGACGAAATGGGAGATCATCAGGCCCTGTCGTGATAAGAACCCTTTTATTTAGAGTTAAGGGCTTAGGGTAATTTCGAGGTAGGGTACAAGACCTCCAGTGTAGCCAACGTCGCCGTTCTGCAAAGTGCTGCTCAACCTGAGCTGCTCGTATCTGTCAGAAGCGAAGTAGCTCCTGCAAACTAGCCTAGTGCACCTGATCCTGACTTACAAACCAAGCAGCAGCTCGCGATCTTGCGGCGTAGAAGAACCAAAGCAGATGGCTTGCAATAACCAAGGCCGCTTCTCCAACCACGACATGTAGGAGCTCGGAAGAACGATACCTTAAGTTGGTTAAGGAAGGTTGTGCGGAAAACTACAAGAGCATGAACGTTCGACGATGGAAGTTTGAACAAGTCTCTGCATGGTTTCTCAACCACAAGTTTCTTCTTCTTCGACACCAGCAGCGGCAACTTGATTTTCGATACCTTTGGTAACGATCGTGCGAAAAACTCGTGGAATCGCTTCTCTGTCCTCCTCCCAGCCAGCTTCTTGGTGATCCAGTGCATGTTGTTGCCGCTTTCGGTTTCAGCGGCTGAACACAAGTCGCTTATCCAGTTCACATCAGCATTCTTTTTTTGTAGAGCAGCGACAGCAGTATTCGATAGAGATGCATTCGCCAGACTCTGCAGCCTGTACGGCAGTGCTTCTTGCTGGGGCACATAAAGCTTGTCCAGGGTTACAGGAGAGCTCGATGCAGCAGCATTTTTCGCATCCAATCGTCGTTGTAAGTCTCGCCGCCTCGGAGCTGGACGTTTCCTGCGATAGGGCGGTGCATTTTAACCTAGCTAGCGGGTTCAGGGTTCAGGATTTAAGGTGTTCCCTATATATATATGGGGTGAAAGTTCATTAGTTTTACGGCTTATGTAATGTGAAGCTTACGGCAGGTCGGAAGGAGTCCTCTTCGGCTCGGGTGCCGGGACGTCGAGGCCTGCGTGGGGAGCTGTGCTTCTAAGCTTGTAAAAGCCAGAGGAAGACACGGAGAGAAGAGAGTGGAGAGGGGAGAGAGGAGATCGAGAGAGAGAGAGAGAGAAAGAGACAGAGAGAGAGGGAGACCGAGGCAGTGAGAGAGCACCAACGAGTGCAAGGATTCAACAGAACCAAATGAGCTCATGTGCAAGCAAAAACCTGAGATGATCTTTCGTCTCCGTCCGACGGAGGAGTCGCAGCGTGCTGCAAACCGGTGGGCAGCAGGCTGAGTCACAAATCTTGCGATCATGATTGTGTTCTAGCTCCTAGCAGCCCGTGCCTCTTCCCAATTCACAGCTCACTTGTTCAAAAACCAGCACGAGCTAGCTTGGATAAAGCTGGTGGGCAACAAGCACACATAGACACATATATAGGTGCGGGAATGCAGACTATATAAAAGCGGTATGTAGAGCAAGTGCCTCGTAAGCCCAGCTTATCCTTCTAGCATGATCAAAAACCATCAAGTAGCTGCTAGCTGCTAGTTTGCTGCGGATAGACCAGAGC